CCGGGGCATGGTGGGGACATGGTGGGGGGTGTCGGTCGGTTTTGGGACAGAACTTGCGGGGTGGGGGGTCCCAAGAACAGAGGCTCCACGGGGGGGGGGGCCGGGGCATGGTGGGGGCATGGTGGGGGCATGGTGGGGGGTAGAATGGGAGGGAGCTGGAGCGAAAATTGCGGGGTAGGGTGGCAGACGGGGGGTGGCCTGTGGCGGGGAGCTGGAGCGAAAATTGCGGGGTAGAGTGGCAGACGGGGGGTGGCCTGTGGCCTGCCTGAGGACTGCGGGTCGTGGTCTGTGGCCTGCGATATCGCACACGCCTTCTGGGGTCGGCGGATTTGTCCCCATCCTCAGCTCTTTTTGCGGAGGATCATCCTGTGAGAGCCCCTTGGAAGCCGCACGAACATTTTCAGGGCTTTGGGGGGTCCTTCTGAAGGCCTCCTGGGTTCCTTCTGGGAGCCTCTAGGGGGCTTCCCTGGACCACCCCACTTCAAACCGCGGTCTCCCTGAACGACCAGGTCACGATTTGGAATGATTCAGGGAGCGTTTGGGGGGCATCTTTGGCCGCCACCGGGCTCTCTTCGGGCCATCCTGGGGCTCTGCTGGGCCGTGTTGGGGCTCTTCTTGGATTGCCTGGAAGCCCTCTTAGCTAGATTTAGGGCAATTCTCTGGTCTCCTGGGCGGTCTCGGACGTCCGGAAGACCGAAGAAGAGATCATCCCCACAACAATGCAACAGCCACAGGAATCATTGTTTTGCGCGTTTCAAATGCATCTTGGGGGTCTTCTTGGGGTCGTCTTCAGGCTTCTGCTGGGTGTCTGGCGCCTCTGTGGGCTCGCGCGGGCCGTTGGCCGCCCACCTGGCCGATTTGGGCTTTTCGCCTAGGCTGAAGTCGGGCGCGTCCCTCTACAGGAGGAATGATAAAACATATTCGCAAAATCGTATGTTTTTCTACTATCTGTGACTGTGTTGTATTGTTGTGCTTGAAAATGTTTGATGTTTCGTCCAACATCCGCCTGTAGGAGGACACGCCCGACCTAAGCCTAGCCCCAGCTCCCCCGGGGGGTCGCGAGTTTGCCAGCCTGCACTCCAGGCTCCCTGGATGGGGTCGGGGCAGATGGGGTCGGAGGATCGATCGCGCCGCATCGCGATGCATCAGCGATGCGGCTCGATGTGGGGTCAAATTTTCTCCACGCCGACGTCGCCGAAGCATCGCTGACGTTGCCAGTGCGTGGCCGATGCGTCGCTGATGCATCGGCGATGCATCGTCGATGTATCGGCGGTGCGGTGAGATCCTCCGACCCCATCTACAGTCGGCCCGGATTAGTAGGTCGACCATGCCAGCTCAAGGGTACCCTTGTGTCCTGTGCCTCGCGACACGTGCCTCCTTACACTCATATGGCGATGTGACCTTCAGAAGGGTCTCGTGTCAAGTCGGGCCTGTCCCTCTACAGGGGGAATCTTCAAAAACAGTCAAACAATAGTCTGAGGACTATGTTTTGGGTATTTTGTTTGACCATTTTTGCATATTTGTTGGGTGTCCTCTTGCGTGCCCTCTCCAATCAATCGGGGGTGGACAGACCTCCTACCCTGACACGTCGATTCAGGAATTGGCCGCTCTCGTTTCGCGAGAGGGCGTCGCGGCCGTCACTCTTGCCGGCCCAGGTCCGTCGGTTTCGGTCCCAGGCCGCTTTCGCTAAGGGGAGGTCTACTAGAGGGAGGCTTGTCCACCGCCGAGCCAAGTCCGACTCTGCTCGGACCCCGTCGAGGAGGCCTCCGTGCCCCGGAGAGGAGGCGAGGGCGCGGGCGGCGGCCCCCTGGAGGAGAGAGGAGAGCAGCCCACGGCGGCCTCGCGGGGAATCTTCAAAGATAGTCCAAAAGATAGTCTGAGGACTATGTTTTGGAGCAGTTTTTTGTTAATTTTTGCCTATTTGTTGGGTGTCCTCTTGCGTGTCCTCTCCAGTCGAGTCCGACTCCGCTCGGACTCCATCGAGGAGGCCTCCGTGCACCGGAGAGGGGGCGAGGGCGAGGGCGGCGGCCCCCCGGGGAGAGGGGAGCGAGCCACGGCTATGCGTCGCAGGGAGCTTTTGTGGCAGCCTGGCGGGGGGTCTGCCGCTGCGAAGGCGGCTGCGCCCCCAGACACACCCAGAGATCCAAACGTCCTGACACAAAAAAAAACAGCGCGGAGGTTTTTCGCCGATTTCGACCTCCAGAGGCCCTCGCCGGGCCCCGGGATCGTCAAAAAACGACGCAGGGTGAGAGACCGGTCCTGGGGAATAGGTCGAGACTTCCGGGGGCCGCGTATAGAAAAAACACAACATCGGATCTCTGGGTACACGACCGCGTAGTAAGAACATCAGGGCGGGGGGCTTTTGGCCAACTTCGGTCTCTGGGGGCCCTCGCCGGGCCTCGGGAGCGTCAAAGAACGACCGAGGATGAGAAGCCGGTCCCGGGGAAAGGGTCGGGACTTGAGGGAGTGAACAAAATCAGGACGTCGCATGTCTGGGCTTGCTGCTCCAGGCCAGTGCAGGGCAGAAGGGCCCGGCTTGGTGCTGCGTCACCTCAGAGGGCTCCGTGCGCCTCTCCACCTCCTCCTCCTCCTCCTGCTCCTCCTCCTCCTTGCCCCTGTCCTCTCCTCCTCCTCCCTCCTCCTCCTCCTTCACCTCCTCATCCTCCCTTCTCATCCTCCTCCTCCTTCCTCCTCCTCCTCCTTCTCCTCCTCCTCCTCCTCCCTCCTCCTCCCTCCTCCTCCCCCTCGTCCTCCTCCACCTCCTCCCTCCTCCTCCACCCTCCTGGCGGTTGGAGGCATGTGGTGCGAGTGCAGTGCCCCACCCAGCTGACTTGATCTGGATATGCTGTCGGCGTTCACCTTCGATCAGATCAGGTTACAGAAGAAGAAGCGCAATAAACATAAACTTTTGGCGCTCCGCGCGGATTTCTTGGATCCGCGCTGGGCCCCACTGGCGGCGCCTCCGGCGCCGCCCCTGGCGCGCTGAGCGCGCCAGGGACGGGGTTCCAGCGCGGATCCAAGAAATCCACGCGAAGCGCCAAAAGTTCATGTTTATCATGTTTATGGCGTTTTTGTTCCTTCTAGCAGGAAGGGGTACCCATACCTCTACCCTTTCCTCGTTTTCCACTTTTTCGATCTCCTCGGAGGCCCTCGTTGCCACTGCTGGATTCGGTGAAATTCTGGTCAGAACGCGCCTCAGGAGAGGTCCGGGGAGTGGCGGTATCAGTATCTTTTGGTCTCCCCAGAATCCAGTGCTGTACCCAGCTGATGTGATCTGGATGTGCTGTCGGCGTTCACCTTCGAGGCCTCTCACATCCGCTGAATGTGCAAACCGAAGTGTGGTACGATCTGGGGGGTGAGGAGGAAAGGGATGGTAGAGGATGGTATTACGAGGAATATAAACATGAATATGGAAATGAGGGAGAAGGGGCAGGCAATGCAAGAGCAGTGGTGGGGCGGGTTTGGAATCAGCCGTGAAGGCGATTACACTGGGTGCCCCCGCAGGCGATCTTCACACTATGGCACTGGAAGGGTAAATGATGGTACCCCCTCCCCTTTGCCATCCTCTGGTTCGCTCCTCCCCCTGGCCCTGCTCCATCGTTCCTCTCTTTGCTTCCTTGCTTCATCTCGTTCGATCTCGAGAAACTTGTGTTACTGCTTCAGGATACTGGCGGCGGCTACGAGCGGTCGGAGCTGGGGAACGAGATCACTGCAGAGGTGCCCGCAGCACCTTCGACATCGCCTGGCCAGCTGCATTTGCCGTCGTTGTGCTCGGATGTCTCGGGAATGGCTTTGCATCATGGCGCGCGTAGTATTCGGAATGCCGTGGAAAGTACGTATGGTGTTGTAACTACGATGGCTAATGGCAACATGCAGTCACTGACGCCGTGAAAGAGTCGTGCATTGTCGAATGTGACCGCTCTTTGAGTGTTGCGTTCTATTGGTTGTTGCTGCTTCGTGATCTCTGGAAATGTTCGTTCGAGTGTTGCTCGTGGCGCCATGCATTGTGATTCGAACCGCTTTGCGATTTCCGCCCCTTTGGCAATCTCGAAGTAACCGAGGACGACCTCAGCACAAGACCGAAAGGGCCGCAAGGCAGGCCAGGATGGTTCAAACATCACGAGTGACTCATGACAGCAGCCCACATCCCAGAAGGCCTCATGATGGTTCCAAGAGGTCCCTGAGCACTCAATGGATACACAGTGGGTTCCAGGGCCCGCGGACGGTTCCTTGAACATCCTAGGATGCTGCAAAAGGGTTCACAGCGGCCTTCCTTATCCCCCTCCATGTTTCTTATGATTCCACAGTTGCTTCGCGGATTGGTCAGAGTGGGGGGCTGAAGCGAACGGTCATTCATTGTCCCTGGGTGCGTGGCTGAAGTGGAATTCCGCGATGCGGATTCTTGTTGTTGTTGTTGTTGTTGTTGCTGTTGTTGTTGTTGCTGGTGTTGTTGTTGTTGTTGTTGTTAATGTTGTTGTTGTTGTTGTTGTTGTTGTTGTTGTTGTTGTTGTTGTTGTTGTTGTTGTTTTTGTTGGTGTTGTTGTTGTTGTTGTTGTTGTTGTTGTTGGTGGTGTTTATGTTGTTGTTTTTGTTGTTGTTGTTGCTGCTGTTGTTGTTGTTGTTGTTGTTGTTGTTGTTGTTGTTGTTGTTGTGTTTGTTGTTTGTTGTTTGTTGTTTGTTGTTTGTTGTTTGTTGTCGTCGTCCCACCCGCGACCCGCCCCGCGACCCACCCGCGACCTACCACGCGACCCACCCGCGGCCCACCCGCGACCCACCCCGCGACCCACCCGCGATCCAACCCGCAACCCGCCCGCGACACACCCGCGACCCACCCACGACCCACCCCGCGACCCGCCCGCGACCCACCCCGAGACCTCCCTGGCGACCCGCCCGCGACCCACCCGCGACCCACCCGCGACCCACCCGCGACCCACCCGCGACCCACCCGCGACCTACCGCGACCAACCTGCAACCCACCCGCGACCCACACCAGGACCCACCAAAAATCTTTGGCGCCTGCGGCGGGTTTCTTTTGTTACAGGTGGAGAACCTCCAACCCACCCGCGACCCAAACCGCGCCCGCGACCCACCCGCGACCCACCGCGACCCACCCGCGACCCACCCGCGACCCACCCCGTGACCCACCCAAAATTCTCAGCGCCTGCGGCGGGTTTCTTTTGCATTCGTTCCAGGTGGAGAACTTGCGACCCACCCGCAACCCAAACCGCACCCGCGACTCACCCGCGACCCACCGCGACCCACCCGCGACCCACCTGCGGCCCACCCCGCGAACCACCCAAATTTTTCGGCGCCTGTGGCGGGTTGCTTTTGCATTCGTTCCAGGTGGAGAACCTGCGACCCACCCGCGACCCAAACCGCGTTCAGTGTGCAAATGAAAATTTTCGGCGCCTGCGGCGGGCTGTTTTTGAATTCCTTCCAGGTGGAGGTGGAGAGCCCGCGACCCACCCGCGACCCAAACTACGTTCACTGAACGAGCCAAAAATTCGGCGCCTGCGGCGGGCTGTTTTTGCATTTGTTCCGTGTGGCCCACCAGCGATCCCCCCCGCGCTGAACTTGTCAAAGCACGACAACGACGATTAGGGCGAGGACGCGGACGAGGAAGAGGAGGAGGAGGAGCAGGATGAGGAGGGCGCCATCGACAGGGAAGGTGAGGGCCACGAGGTCCGCCGACTCGACGCCCGCGTCGCCCGCGCCCGTCCCCTCACTCTTATCCGCAATTGCGGGGTGCTACGTACATCATCACAACTTATCGTCGCAGTGCGGTGGCTCTTCTTCTTTGCAGTATGGCCGTTGCGCCCGTCGTGCCATCACGTCTTTCCACACCTTCCTTGCAGCGTCCTCCTGGGCACCCACCCCTCACTCTCCCCCCTCGTCCTCCGCTCGCTTCCCCCTCCGTCCCCTGTTTTCCCATATCCAAGCTCTGGCTATGTACTGATCTCTCTCTCTCTCTCTCTCTCTCCCTCTCTCTCTTGCTCACTGATCTGGCTCTCTGTCTCTCTCTCTCTCTCTGTCTCTCTTTTTTTGTTTGCTCTCTCACTCTCTCTCTTTCTCTCTCTTACTCTCTCTCTCTCTCTTTCTCTTTTTTTTTTTCTCTCTCTCTCTCTCTCCCTCTCTCTGTATCACCATCCTCATTCTCCATGCTGTGGTTCGCATGCCACCTGTCGCAATGTGTGTGTGGTAGCGCTCAACGCAGAATGCGACGCTGTTCGCCGCATTGCTGGCTCACTGGTGGCCGAGAGGGACGCCGCCTGCCACCGACGCCTTGGAGGAAAATTATGCTGCGGGCAGCGGGCCGAGCGGCCACGATGTGCTCCACCCTTCCTTGGCCATCTTGCTGGATTCCCTGGGATCTACCTTGGCTTACCTGGGCCTACCTCGACTCATCGGCATCCATCTTCGTTGGATCCCTGGGATTCCCTGGGAGTCCACCCCCACAAGAGGGAGGGCGCAGGAGAGGAAGAGAGACGAGAAGGAGGAGGGCCCGCAGGGGGGGAGCTCGGGCTACGGGCGTTCTGGACGACACCAGGCCACGAGCGCCGACCGCGGGCCGGGCACGAAGAGCTTCGAGCCGAGACCAGCAGCCGCATCCATCCACAGGGCTCCGGCACGCCACGGGCTCACACTGCACACCACACAGTGGAATACAGAAGGCTACACGCAAGGTCGTTGTGCAACATGCGGCGTACAGTCGGGGCCCTGAAGAAGGAACCCTTTTCGTTGGGGAGGGGCTCCGTGTTCCTTGATTGTGTCACAGCCTGCCCCAGGTTTTCCTCAGGTTTTCGATGGGAAATCGAACCTTCACTGATGGGAAAAAGGGGCCTCGTTCCTTATTTAGGGTTCCTTGGGTCAACGTCCCGACTGTACATGCAAGGTCGTTATGCAACATGCGGCGTACTCTCATGCCGCCTCACTGCTGAACTGGGTTCCCCGCTGCTCGAAGTGCTCAGTTGGCCCGGGTCCCTCCAGCTGACCGGAATTTCCCAAGTGCCAGCTTGGTAACGCGCAGAAAGAAGCCCAAGATCTTGAACCTCACGAACAAAGATGCCGAGCGTTTCAGGGAGAGCACTGGCTGATGATGTGGAAAGTTGCTGTCCTTAAGCGGCTGAACGCCTGAAGAGCTCCAGGAATGACACTGTGGCCTCGCACTGTTGCTGCTCAGCCTTCGCTACGCACTCGCGCTCGAATAACTCCAGAGTTGCTTCGATCCTCCTCGCATGTGGGACAGCGCTCAGAGCCTGACTGTGCTCCAGAGCAGGGCTGAAGAAAGGAGCATCAGGGCGGAGAGTGCTGGACGTTCGCGCCAGAGCCGCGGACTCCCTCAGAGGCTCCGGAGTCACAGCAGTAGAGCCCGCTGCCGAGGGTGTCGATGAGGGAGCTCTCGGAGCGCAGGGTGTAGGCTTCCTCCCCGTGCTCCTCCTCCAAGGCTTTCCTCCACCCACTCCTTGTCCCGGGTGCCACTTTCGCGAGGATCTTGAAGAGGGCCTGGAAGGACGTGGCGAACAGGCGGACCTCCGGCAGCAGGGCGTATGGGTGCCAGCCACACCTGAACAACAGAGGTGCCGTCGCTGTGGATATGCCCCCGGTCCACAGCTGAAAGGGTCGGGAGCTCCTCGAGGATGGCCTTCACAATCACCCGTATCGCAGCAGTCTGCACGGCGCCCGCCGTGGTCACAGTGGCAGCGGCGACGACAAATTTGAGCTTGCCCTTTTCTGAGGCTCTGGCGCGGCTGCCGGCGAAGTGGACGTTCAGTCCGGAAGCGGACTGTCTAAGAACCCATTCGAGTCGAGCAGCGACCACCATGGCGCGCGGGGGGGACAAATTATTCGCAGGTGCGAGAAGGAAGCCGCCCCTCAAGCAAGTGCCCGAGAAAAGACGGCTCTCCTCCTCCTCCTCCTCCTCCTCCTCCTCTGCCCTCCTTCTCCTCCTCCTCCTCCTTCTCCTCCTCCTCCTCCTTCTCCTTCTCCTCCTCCTCCACCTCCTCCTCCTCCTCCACCTCCTCCTCCTTCTCCTCCTCCTCCTCCTCCTCACCAAAGATGACGCCATGCCGATGACGTACCAGAAGCAATCGACTGCCGTAGCCGCCGCGCGCCATGCTCTGAAGCTGCCTGCCGATCTGTCGGGCGGAGCGGGCGCGCCATAGCTCGGCCTTCCGACGGACTCGCCCCTCTCCGCCCTTTCCCCCCCTCCCCGTGCTGCTGCCTGGAGCTCTTCTGCTGCTCGTGCGCGCTCTCCCTCCGTGCCTCCCAGGATGGTGCGGGCTCGGATCTCAGGCCCTTTCCCTCCCGACAGTGGGCGAGGGGTCTCGTTTCGGCTTGTGAGAGACGAACCTCTCCATGACGCCGTTCAGCGTGTGCAGGCCCGCCCTGCGCCTCTCCGTGCTCCCTCGGTCGAGCCGCCCCCTAAGTCGCGGCGTTTCCTGGGGGCCTCGAGGCGGATCGTGCGTGCCGAGCTCTCGACCCTCTCTTCCGCTGCCTGAGAGCGGCGACATTCCGACCAGGAGCGCCCGAAGGCATGAGTTTTTCATGTCGCCTGGTAAAGTGGTTATTTGTTTGTCGCGCGGGGCCATCAGCACTGGCAAAGCGTCTGCTCTGTTAGATGTGTGCCCCCCGCCTCCTTATAGCAAACGGGGGCTCTCTCATGTGTGTCGTTTCAATGATAATCGACACCCAGCCGACCTTCGGAGACAGGAGGTTAT